TACTTAGGTTGGTAGGTACTTACTTATTTGATTTTAATGATAATTACTATAGGTACGTATAATTTTAATAGAAAGAAAGGTCATTGAATGACTAAGTGATTCACTCACTCATCACGAAGTCTCGGAAACTACAAGTCTCAAAAGAGTTCTCATAGGGGTTAATGGTCTATCTATTCCACTTGGATCACCTGGCTTTGATCACCAAGATGATCAAAGTGGACTCCAGTTAAATGATTTTTTTAGTGTTGTTTGATCACCTATAAATAAATCATAACTCTGAATTGTCACATACATGTCCAATTTGTTTAGTGCGGTTTTTAGAAAATATCAAAAATGTTACAAAACAAAATATTATGTAGTACAACAATTGGACATGTGACTATTCAGAGGATGTGTGATTTGTTTGTAGATGATCAAAGGACACTAAAATAATAATTTAACTAGAGTCTACTTGGCTCACCCAGGACATCGTATCCGTGGGTGATCAAAGGCACAGAACAAATTCAAAGGACACTAAATTGTCGCTGTAAGTCCACTTTGATCACCTGGCTGATCAAAGCCAGGTGATCAAAGTGGAATACACCTCCTTTTAGAACGTAGGTAGTCACTAAGACGAAATTTTGCAAAATTCAACCCTTATGGGAGTTAAAAAGGGGGTTAGAAGTTTGTATTGCAGTCCTCGGTTTTTAAAGTAAGAGACTTGAAAGTTAAAATGTATGCTCACTATGATCTCTAGATATTGTGGAGGTGTACATATACTGTTCGGTACACTGTGGTACTGTGTACACATCGGTTTGCCGACGATATTGTGGTCATGGCAGAATCGTTGGAAGATCTTGGCACAATGCTCGAAGACCTTAATCGATTTTCCCAACAGGTAGGCCTGAGGATGAACATGGACAAAACGAAGCTTATGTCGAATGTCCATGTTGCGCCCTACCCAGTTTCAGTTGGGAGCTCAATTCTCGAGATTGTCGACAAGTAGGTATGTCTACCTCGGACAAACGATCCAGCTAGGTAGGTCCAATTTCGAGAAGGAGGTCAATCGTCGAATCCAACTCGGCTGGGCAGCGTTCGGGAAACTACGCAACATCTTTTCGTCCAAAATACCTCAATGCCTGAAGACTAGAGTGTATAACCAATGTGTGTTACCAGTGATAACTTATGGCTCGGAAACGTGGCCTCTCACTATAGGCCTTATACAGAAGCTCAGTTGCACAGCGTGCTATGGAGAGGGCTATGCTTGGTGTTTCTTTGCGAGATCGAATCAGAAATGAGGAGATCCGTAAACGAACCAAAGTCGCTGACATAGCCCGACGGATTAGCAAGCTGAAGTGGCAATAGGCAGGGCACATAGTACGCAGAACTGATGGCCGATGGGGCAGAATGGTTCTGGAATGGAGGCCGCGTACCGGAAAACGTAGCGTGAGACTTCCACCTACAAGGTGGACCGACGACATCGTAAAGGTAGCAGGGAAGCGCTGGACGCAGGCCGCTTCCAATCGATCAACATGGAAAGCATTGGGGGAGGCCTATGTTCAGCAGTGGACGTCCTATGGCTGAAATGGTGGTGGTGGTGGTGGTACATATACTGAAAATGTATCATTAGAAATCAACTACGGGGGCTAAGGAGATAAAAGGAGGGTTGGAAGTTTATATTATGAAAGTCCTATGTGTTTAAAGTAAGAGAGTTGAAATTTAAAATGTATGCGCTATAGATGCTAAGAGCGGATTTTACGAAACTCCACCCCTAAAATAATGGAGTAAAACGAGGTCCACGCGTACGAAGTCGCGGGCGGCCGCTAGTTTAATATAGTACGTATAAGAGTTTTTCCCATACCTACGTCTCACATAATCATACATACTAACATAGTAATTATTACTATCGTCATCATAAAATGTTATTTTTGCTTTTTTAAAGGAAAACTAGATTTTTATCGATTTGAAATTACGAACATCACTAAAATAGTCATTTTTTTAATTTATTACATTGTTGCCTCAATACTCAATATTGCATAGCATTTATTATCATACCATCATTTTGTTTAGTTTGTGTTTCTGAAACGCTTCTCATCGCTATGTTTTACATTTTTAGAGCCCTAAATAATGTTCTAGTTTCTATTTTCTGGGAGTAGGTAAGTACATAATACAAGACCCATGCTAGGCTAGTGATGCAAGGTGTTAAAAAATTAATTGAAATACACGAGTAATTAATATATTTTAATTTTAGTACATAAATAGGATATAAATAGAGGATTAACTAATACAGGCGTTTATTTTCTTTATACGCTAATCCAAACATAAGCCTCAATGCAAAGTACGGTGAGTTTCCCTTTATACAAACTTATGGCCCACCGGTTTATGCCCTCTTCCCGCACTGGCACGTAAGTTGCAGCTGATTCAATTCTCGATACATCAAATTTAGTGACTTTGTAAACTCCTTTTTTATAAACACATGTTTTCGGATTGAATTTGATTTTTGCACCAGTCAGAATAAGTCTGAATACAACATTCTGACATGTTGATCCAATCCAACTGATACTATACCTCGATGGATATCTCGGAATAGCAATCTTCAGGCTCCACAAATATCCAACCAAGTCTTCAGACGATGAAATGTTGCCGTGAACATAAACTTTATCGGTTGTGTTGTAAGTAGAAAAATAATAAGTAACTAACTTGTTATCTCTTTCGTTGGGAGCTCTACAATCAGTGACATTAACTAACGTCGATTTATAATAGCATATTATTATACCAAATTGTAATATTATGAACGAACATATCCATAATATCATTTTCATATTTTGGTATAGAAACTGTAGATAGTAGTAGACCTAGATACTGTTTTGGAAACTACTTAAAATGTTTCAGTGGATTTCACAGTAAATATGTCTAAAGTAAATTATGATTATGTTATTTGTGGTGTCCAACATGATTACCTACATCAGTCATTATCCTTGTTTGAAATTATTGCGATTATTATTTCTATTATCAGAGAAATTATCCATTCGTAATTTATTTATAAGTAGCCACTTCAGTGTCATCATATTTATTCAAATATTATTTTTGTCCATCGATAAACGATTTTGCATTAAAAACGTTGTCGTATTTTTGATTAATCGTTGCTTGTTTAATGTACTAGTAGGTTCTATAGATTTGAACATACATCAATTAAATAGTAGAATTTTTTAACTATTAAATTCAGGATTTACTGTCACACAACGTTTTTTCCTACTAAAAAAATGAAACTGTATAATATCATCGTTTTTATACTTATTCAAATAAAATTTATTTACCAATATATGTTAACTGTGAAGAATATTGAATTATGCGCAAACGCACACCCACCCTTGAGAGTTCCGCCAATCGTTGATTGCGAAAATATACTTTACATAGAAAGCCATGGAGTGCTAATTGCCGGGAATGTAACAATAAAAACAGATCTTGTGGGATATCTTTGGAGACTCAAAGTAGAAGTCGATAATGGCGATGGAAAATTTCATCGTGCTGTTAACATTAAATTAACATGTAGTCATATTATTGTGAAGCTAATTTTGGGAGCAGTAAATGCCAAATATGACCAAAAAACGTGCACGATTAAGAAAGGCACTTTATTTTATAACAAGATTGACGTGAGCAAAATCGATAGACTTGCTAGGTTACCAACGAGAGAAATAGGATTAAATCACTGGCTAATAAGTATTTTTAACGCAAATGAAACAATATTATGTATACAACTTACTGTCATGATTTCAAATGATAAGAAGAGTGTTAAAAATGGTTAAAGATATACACTTGTACTGTGCACATGAATAAATTAAAGAATTGGAAAAGTTTGCGTTTCATTGGGTCAGGTATGTACCTACATTGTTCGTATTTTAGAAATAAGGAAATAACTTCGTAACACAAAAAGTTTATTTTAAAATCTTGTATATTGGGTATCCTTAACTACCTAAGTCTTTGTACAACCTTTTATAATATTTTGTATAACTACAAAATCTACAGTAAAATATACCTAACTATCTAGTAAATCTAGTAATATATTAATTTGTGAATTTTAGTGGGATTCTGCGGTTTCAGATTTTGTTGTTTCTTGTTCGACGATAACAACTTTGTTGCCCCGTCTTCTGCCGTGAGGTCCCCGGCGGACTCTTGCAGTTCCATTTTCTGAAACCTGTGAACCAAATAAAATAATTACTAAATAAATAACATTTTAAAGGACTGATGTAGGAACATCCAGAATAAGATGAGAAAATTCAAGAATTATGAATGACATAATTTGCGTCTTCGGACTGGTGGTTTCTATTCCGAACTGCTGTGCCATAAGTCATGGATTCAATCAACGAATAATGCAATAAATAATTCTATTTAATAAATCATAATCATAATATTATTACGTATGTATGCCTATGTGTTGGTGTTGGTATTTACTATACACGCTTTTAAAAAGCTTTTCAGTTTATTCTAGTAAGATTGTACAGTAAGCGTTAAATAGTTCATGACACTCAAAGTTGTCAAAAAGTTCGCAACACGTCTGTGTTGGGCCGTTTCCTGACCTGACGGTGCGATAGCGGCCCGGCATCGGTATGCTCTGTATGCGCGGTACCGAAAGCTTACCGAGCGCCTATATTTTTATTGGAGCGTTCCTGATTGAGTCTGTGCCGCGCCGCTGCCGCACATGCCGCGCCAATCAGGAAGCGTGCATTCAAATATAGGCGTTCGGTAAGCTTTCGGTACCGATGCGGTATACCGAAACGAAATCGTACCGATACCGCACCGCCAAGTCAGGAAGCGGCCTTACAATTGGAATAAGGTTGTGTTGCAAAATTTTTGGCTACTTTGGGTGTCACGAACTATTTGACGCTGACTGTATGTAGTGTAAATAATTATCCAAAGATCTTAACTTATTTTCGTAACTAATTAACAAAAAGAATAATTAAAACCAAATGAATACTAACCTGTACAGATTTCTTTGCGGGCACGTTGTTTTCGAGGAACTTGTTTACAGCACCGAGGGTGTTAATTGGTATCTAAAATATAAAACAACGTTAATTTTCTAAAGAAGGTTTTTGCCCTCGTAAACAAGGTAATTTAACATAATATTTAGAACAACAAGTCTAAAATGACTCAATATCCAATTTAAACAACAAAGAAAAGTAATTACAATAAGCGCCATTTGAATTGAATTTAACAGTCAGACGTGATAAAATCGACTTTTACACGTTGGTTCTATCAACACTTTATTTTAAAATGCATAATTTTTAACAAATATTAAAAAGTTAAACTCACCTTTGGTTAACACCTTCCGCCAGTTACTACTTATAAAATCAAGAGTTAAGTATTTACATAGTAACTATGTTAAAAACACCAAATCCAGCTTGATATTTTATCTATTTATTTAGTCCAATTCTTACCTTAACCGTAAACTTTGTGCCAACACGCATTCAAAAAAATTGAGACTTGAAAAAGCGCCACCGAAACGAAAACAACATCCAAATACCAACAAAAACAAAGTGTATTGCATAAAAATATAATTAGTGGTTATAGTAATATTTAAAAAAGTAAATAATATTAAGCACAGCACAGGAATTGTAAATAATACAATATCTACACATAAAATACTTACTGTAAAAGCTTAAAATTTTCAAATAATATGATAAATGATTAATTTTAAGGAAATAAGGTTATTAGCTGAATAAATATAAAGCATAATATTATGAGGTTAGAAGCCAAAATTGTGTGGAAATTAGATGATGATGAACTTACAGCCAAAATGTCGTCTATGACTCTAGACACGTTTGGTGTTTCGACTGACACATGCGCAGCTGATGTTGATAGGGATGATGGTACTTCATGCTTGGCAGATATCAAGTCTGAGTCGTCAGCTTGGGGAATGAATAAAATGGGTCAGTATCATGCTGTGAAGAACAATGCTTAAAAATAAGAATAGTACAGACCACAGCACATCAATGGTGAACCTTAAGTAGGAGTTGCAATAATTTATTGTTTTTTTTTTCTCTTCTCTTCTCTTGATACGATTTTGCTACAAGAATGACGTACTTTCTTTCTAATGTGCGGTCGACTGTACAATAATGCATGGTTTACTTTTTAGTTACAAAAATCGTTTGCGAAAGAATATAGGCAAACGTAACATTCAAATGGAATACGAGAACGATAACAGAAAGATTAGAATAGTTATTAACAATTTGAACTCAGTAAGTAAAGATGAAGTTTAATAACATTCAAATGGACGTGTAGTGTGTAGCGATAAATAAATTAGATAAGGATGATGCTCCAATCTTTTTCGTTTGAAGTTTACAGTCTTACCTATTGAGCCGATCATAAAAAAAAAACATTATAGGTGATACCGTAAAGCTAGAGTATCATTGGTATTATGAGGGCAACGAAGCTGCAAGATTATCTCTGAACGCTCCCATGCACTGGGTCGTTTTGTGGTCCTTATCTCTCTGCTATAAAATGGGTATAAATACATGCGTTTCGCGGGAATCGTGCAACACAATTACAGGAAATTCACGCGAAATAGTTTCCAAACTATCGACTGACTAGCTTTCCGCCCGCGGCTTCGCCCGCGTGGAATTTTGTCTGTCACAGAAAAACTTTATCGCGCGCGTCCCTGTTTCAAAAACCGGGATAAAAACTATCCTATGTTCTTTCCCGGGACTCAAACTATCTCTATGCCAAATTTCATCAAAATCGGTTGCGAGGTTTAAGCGGGAAAGCGTAACAGACAGACAGACAGACAGACAGACAGAGTTACTTTCGCATTTATAATATTATTATAGTTGGGATATCGGAATAAGCAAAAAAAAATACAATTTGGAATTTATTTTCGCATACAGGGCTTTACCTACTTTTATTTAGGGAGGCCTAAAGGGTTTTTTCTACTTTCTTTTATTTTGATCACTTTACATTATTTTTATGTTCTGCAGTAATTTCATATTTTAATCAAATGAAGTTGATCCGTAATCTCATTATTATTTTATCATTAACTCCATTTAACTTCTTTAAAATTAGGTATAATTTTGGCTACCGTTTTGAATCACCAAGTTATTGATAATCTTTTGGTAAAACAATCTTTGAAAATTATCAGATGGAAAAATAGGGAGCAAAGTCTTAACGGTTTCTTTGTAAAATGCAGAGCTTAAAATGCACAGTAGAAAACTATTTAAGCTATTTTTACTTGAAGCAATCATAATAAAATCACGTTCAATCAATCTTTATTTTACAAAAACGTAAAGAATATAAAATTTACTTAGACTAATCAGCTTAGAATCTTAGGTCTATTGTATCTAATAATAACCGTGAGCACCTGTGTGGATAGAGGCCGACTTCTGAACCGAAACGTTGGTACTGCCGGCGGCGTTTCCAAGGAAATTGCCCACCGCTTTCAGGGTTGAAATAGGGATCTGTGGATTAAATGAAACGTTACAACAATTTCCGTTTATTTCGCTATTGTCTTTTACGGTGTTGTCCTCGATTATGAACGGAGAGATCATTGAAAATTTGGGTCCAATTTCAGCTCTGTGCCTATTTCCTTAATACGGTTTTAGATTAGACATTGTATTTATATGCTTTTGCTACTCGATGAGAGCGAATTGTGTAGCTGTGTTAGATGGTATTATTTATTTACTGGATAACTTGTGGCAAAATATGCTGATAGAGATAGATAACATTAATAATATTGAAGTACGGGTATTGATTCCTGTTTACGTATTTTTGCAGGTAAGCTATGTGTAGTTAATTTCACTATCAATATGACACACAGAAGGAATCGCAGACTTCTAATTAAGTTATAACAAATTCTGGTCACAGCAAGATTTTAATTATTAGATTCCTTTTGATCCAATCAAAAGGAATTGGATAATTGCATGCCTAAACAAATTTTGTAATATACTTACATTGAAAATATCCGCGAAGAAGTTGGGATTCCGCTGGAACGTCACTTGTTTCGTGTAAACCTGTCCAGCGTTTCCACTAGCTCCAACATCAGCTGCTGCTCCAGCGTTTGCTTCTACTCCAACATCAATCCTTTTCTGGATAGCTGGTTGAGGCTGAGCTACGGCTACATCGCCTCCAACGTACGCGATCTTACGAAGGTGGTGGCGAGGCTTGGTGTGTTTGTATACGTGCTTTTCCACTACCTGAGGTGGTGTCTGCACGTAGGTGGTCTGCAAATTCGTAGGACGATGTTACTCAGTAAACTTACTGTAAGTTAATTATAATCAAATAATTGGTGAACACAAATTTGTGCAATTATCCGGGTCTGCTGGATAACATATACAGATGACGATGAACATTGAGGTTACTTTACAACAAAATACTTTTAACTGACTGAAGTAGGTTTCTGTGCACAATGATGGATCGTGAATGGCTGCCAGTCTGTCTTGTAGCCACATTTTGTACACATAACTAAATAAGTTTCACCGACCAACCTGAGGACTTCTGTAAATACTATTCAATTGTGGTCTCCGCCACTGTGTCTGCAGTCTATACTCAACCTGTGGCATTCTAAATCGGATATTCATAACACTGTCAAGGTAATTATTGAAATAACTGCCCGTTCTATAGTTTGTGGGCTGAAACAAATAACTCACTTCCTTAACTACGACTGGTGTTTGTTCTTCTACAGATGGTTTATCAGCTGCCAAAGGAACAAAGTTGACTTCGTTTGCAGAGTCAAATTTGAATTCTTTGTGAACTTTTTTGACGTTTGTTTGGTCTGGCAGAGGTTTTACTTCGACAGTATCGACTTTTCCTTTAGCTCCTCCAAGGAAGGAATTAGTTCCAGAATAGGTAAATCCGTTTGCACCAGCACCAGAAGCATCTCCTCCCTGTAATAAATTTGATATTTATAATTCCTTCTAAGAGAAATAATGAAAAGGCATCAAGTACGTACATATTTCATGCAAACATGCGCTCATGCATGAGTCGATGAAAATATCTGAACATTTCCCCATAACGATTAGCATGCTTATATTTATTATACTTGTTACCTTATAGCCAAAATACCATTTAACATGAACATTGTATCCATGTCTTGTGGCAATGACACGATGATTTGTTTTAGTAAGGAAAACAATGATTATAATTATACAGTGAAAAACGAACACACATATACACACGAGTAGATTTTGTTTTTGTTTATACAAAAACCTTGAGTTAAGACCAATAGAAAAAGCAAAATAATAACAGTAAAAAAAAAAAGTATTGAAAGATTAAGGGAAAGGGGTTTTCGTGATTCCTTATCGCCAGACTGTGTCCAAAAAATGAGTTGAGATTTGGACATGGTGCATCTTCTCACAGATGAATTCTTCTGGGAGAGTCATCTCCTTGTACTTCCATTATTTTCCAGAATAATGAAATTTTCAGTTTTAAGATTTTAGTAAACATAGTTGTTAGTCTTAGTTTCTGTAAAGTGTGCCCACTTGAATGGTAACAAAGTCCCTCCCATCCTCTCCAAAACCACTGGATTAACAAAATAATTTCACAAACTACCATCACGTTTATTAGAAACATTGAGTATTACGGACATTACAGAATTACAGAACTGCAACATCTTAAAAGTTTATATTATAGTCCAGCACCAATTAATATTTCTTTTCGTTAACACGCTTTGCTTTTTTCTGTTCTTTGCGCTTTCTCCTCTCTTCTTTTCGCTTCTGAGATGCTTCTTTGTCACCTACCAGTCCTGATGAGGCAAATTGGTTGCCTGCTTGAGCTGATGCGAAACCGTTCCCTTGCACTTTATTTCCATTCACTGCGCCGCCGATACCAGCTTGCGCGGTAATTTTGTTTCCTGCTGTTGCTCCAGCGAAGAGACCACCTAAGACATAGGCATATTAAAGAAAATCTACGTTATTTCTGTATCTTTCAATAAATGCTTTATTAAGAGCTACTAATGAGAATTACGTCTGAAAATGTGACTAAAATTAGTCGTTGAGATAATCAAGTGCTGCTAGGTGCTGTATTTAGGCCTATTTAATTACTCAGACGTTAGAATAAAGTTCGTGTTTAAGTGTAAATCCAATTTCATTATTACGCTATCCAGAGACAATGGGCGTTCATTATCATGTAAATACAGACAGTTTGAATACTTCCTATTGTTGATTAAATCTCTTTGATTTTATATCCTACTTAACCTTTTCTTTAAGAGGTAGCTTTAAAGGTTATACCTACTAAACATTTCTAAAGCCCTCAAGTTTAATACAAACATTACGTGGGAGTAATCTAAAGTTTTGTTGAAGAAAATTTTACTGAATTAAAATGGAACTTTAGTGAAATGATCTAAAATTGCCAATTTGTGTGCTTGAAACCATTGAATGTCAAGAGAAATCAAAGAAAACGTATTTACCAACTGGTCGACCATCAGAATTCATTGAGCCCCCGAAGCCAGCATGTGCCGCTTGACCGTAGGGTGTCCCAGCCTCTGCGAAGAGCCCGCTACCAGACGAGCTTCCATTTTGACCTGAAATTATTGTAACATGAAATTTAAAAAACCTTTTAACTTAATATACCTACCTCTTTTGTAAGTTAATTGGAATGGAAATTCTAAATTATCCTCATGGATAGTTCGTAAATATAAACAAAAACGATAATTTCTAATCACTAATAATGTAACAACGAATTATAAGGGCTCAATTTCAAACTTGCTTTGTTGATGTTACAAAATCAAATACGCTTAAATTTAGCCAATGAAATATTGAAAATGTTTACCTAATATGCCACCGATGCCGACTGCCGCATGATAACCGCCGAAATTGACCCCCAATTTGCCGTCATTGAAGGTAATCCATTGGGGGGCCTGTGAACAAATTAAATTATTATTTACCATGGTTGATTTAAGGGAGCCCTTGTGTTTTGTCTCTCAAAATGTTTCATTTCCTCCGCCAAAGTTAACAATCACTGGAGTTTAATTTGTGGAGTGGTGTTCCCTTTGTGTTGTTCAACTGACTGTTTTACATAAACTGAGGGAGAGACCTCGCACCCGTCGAAATTGTTTTTTTAAATGTTCATAAAGAATAGTTTTCGTTGCTTTGATGTATTATAGTGAGTGATGCAGCTTCGTGGCTCTAGTAAGTCTTTACTGTACTTAATTCCTAGTAAAGTTACCTACTCATAACCTGAGACATTTTTTTTACGTTTAGCTTTTGTGTTAGTAGTAGGTAAAAAGTGAATGATATTTTATGAACGATGAATATCAATCCAAGTCCTACAGATTGTTGATATAAGACTAAGTGTTCTTTATTAATTACAATAAAAATATGTTTTAATGTCACAAACAACATTTACAACTGATAATAAATTATTATAAAAACTTGCTTAATGTATCTTTTGAAATACGTGCACAGTAAAAAATTGGTGTGAATGCACTATAATGTGATCCGAGTTATTTAAAGGTCACGACTGCAGTAAGTTACGTACTTAAAACTTCATGTAGGTATCTCTAATCTACTGAGATGTCAGTCCGCAAGTACCGTTCCTTAATGCAAAGATGCATTAAAGAGCGCTCACTTGGAACAGGCAAACTTCATCTAAGTAGTAAACAAAATGTAAGAGACTCGATTTATTTATAGTCTAATTTTGTCTTGACTGTACCTCGCGGCACGTTAGAGCCATCTGGTGTTGCTATTATGAGACAGCTTCCATCACAAATTTGCAGCATTTCATCTAAATTATTTTCGTTTGGAGACTTTCCAAGTAGTTAATTACAGTTTTTGTGTGTTGCTGTCTTTTGAATAATGCTTAGTGGTTCCGAAATGAAAAAAAGGTTTTTTGTATAATGAATCCTTGAACTATTGATGTTGCGGGTAAAAACCCAAAGCAGCCTTAAAAGACCACAGTTGTACACGTTCTGATGGAAATATAAGTTATTACTTAGTATTAATAACATAAAACTAGCTCATTCGATAGTTTGGATGTTATGAATAACTCAATGTCAGAATTCCGAAAAAGAAAAAGAACTATTAATAAATCTCGACATCTTGAATAACTTAGGTCTTGTTTCATACGATGTTCTCGTAGTTAATTAGGTATTTGAGAAGTCAAGGAACTAAAAGGAAAATGAAGAGTTTGCTGACCCAAGGAAGTTAATAGAGACAACACGAGAAAGTTGAAGCGTTTTGGCAAAGTATATTTTGCCATTAGTCAATCCGACAACAAACGCTGTAGTTAAGTAGATAAGGTGAGTACACATTGTAGATTTGCAACATCAAAACAAGGCGTTTTTTTCCCGACTTGCGCACGTACCATTATTAAGTTTTTTGCTCTTTGAGATCGTGGAATAATACTATAATTTTTACCTGTCACTTTTTTGTTGAAGATCATTGTTTTTTCTTTGCAATCTTCATTGCATTGATATGATTACATATTATACCTAACCAATCGTTAGTAAAACTTAATAATTTATAAAAATGAGGCAACTGAAATAATAAAGGTACAAACTTTTACTCATATCAACCAAAAGTTTTTACGTCCCAAAGCATGTTTTAAAATAACTAATAAATTAATATTGTTTTAACCTTATCAGTTTGGTTTTGTTAAGCTTTGAAATTGACTGTTGTTAATCACTTGCGATGCACCATCACCTAAACTTTCTTATTAATATAAATCAGTAGTGAGGTGACCTGATGCTCCAGGCTACCCATTATTGGTAATAATATAAGTTCCTGAGCCTTTGTGTTATGTAATATTATTGGCCAAAGTGCTTCTGATCATAGTTCAAAGAAAAACAACAGCCCGTTCTACATCAACATTAAAAGTTTTTTTAAAACTTACTCAGTTATTATTTTTTATAACAAAAAAAATTACATGGTAACATCTAATTCTGAATTTACGGTTCAAAATTTTTTATTAAATAAAATTTGTTATACATTAGTTACAATACTACCCACTTATACCATAAAACCAAAGCTCTCTTCCTAACATTAAATTGTGAACCAAAAGTGGTGGGAACTTTTTTATCGGGGAAGAAATGCATTGAATTGCATACCTACCCTGCGGGGATAGGGTAGGTTATGTCACTATGTGGGGCTCACCAAGTCAGAAGTGGGACCTAATGTAACTTAATTCCTTTGATTTAGCTGTTCCTTCTATGCTGCGAATCCCAATAGGGAAATTAATCTTGCAACCAAACATAATTACTTATACGATGAATTTGCTATTAGTTATTTACGAGTTACCTGAACAGATAATGCATTTTAGCGTAGCTAATTATTACACTAATTTAGTATCTGTTTGATCGACGTATTGGGTTAATTAGGTATTAGGTATTTCATGACGTGATTTCGTCATAGTCGGTTCATATGAGCCAAATACAACATTTTGATTCATCCTTCATATTTTTATGTCAACCATTTATTTATAAGTAGTTTTAGGTCTTAGTTTCAAATTCAATAGATTCATAGGACGTTATTTTTATCACTCATTCCATAATTTAGATATACGATACCATATTGAATCTATTTAGACTATCTGAATTCATGGCTTAAAAAGAACTCTCTCCTTTTATAAACAGTTGAGAAATGACAGATTAATCTTTACCTTGAGAAAAATAAATCGTGAGGTTCTTAAGAAACAATAATTTTAGGCAGAAGACGCGTAGATAGGTAGATATTTCACACCTAACATTACCCACTTAGTTTGGAGTCTCTAAAAACGTTGGTAGACAGTAGCATTGTTAAAGGAGTGGTACATGTAAACATGAATTTCATTGTAAGAATTAATTTACATTGAATGTGAAGGTTTTTACGCCCCTTACGAGTTTAATTTGTGCGTTCATCCAACAGCCTTACGAGCCAGCGTACGAAGCTAAAACGTTTTCTACATTCAAAGATCGAAAAGAAAACTAGCCTTACATACTTAATTTTGTTACATTGATTATGAAGAAGGTATTTTTAATTATATTTTTATCTCATTATTGTATAATTATTATGTAACAGTAACTGCTGTATACTTAAAAAGTGCGATTAAAATATAAAATATCACATTTAATTTGTGGCATTGAACTAGGAAGATTTTGTGGACCCAAAAACGTACATCCATCATTAGATGGAATTGTAATCCGGAGCCATGTTGTCACAAAAAAGAGATATTTGGGGAGACAAGATTTGTGCTAAGCTTCTAAAGGATCAATTATTATTTCATACGCTACAGTTACTATATCCGTCAAATATAATTAGTAATATTATTAGTAAGCGTACCAAGGCGTGTCCACCTGTCAAATTATTCAAAGGCTAACTAGAGTTTACTAAATAATGCATAATATGCAATAAATTATAGCCGAGATATTTCCGCCGTCATGTCAAAAGTAACTTGTACAATTTTGTTCTTTAACTTTGTACGTTAATATGTTATTATTGCACTTGACGTTGTTTATTTGTTTATGTCACTCAATTATAGCAATTAGCTGTAACTCTACCGACTCTACGCACTGGAATTTAATCATTATGATCTGCAAATGGAAATCGTCGTTACTAGAACTGTTTAAGTGCTAACGTCACAACACAAGAAACGTATTAGTCGTTACCGTAACGTATTAATGAATCATGGAATCTTACCGCGTAATAACAGTGTAAGTTGCGCCATTAGTAGTTGCACCATAGTAAAAGATGTCAGTAAAGTATAGTATTGCGCGTATGTGACACAAATTCTCAGATTATGTTGCTTGTAAGATGGTTGATGGTATTTAAGACAAGGCAAGAAATATAATTATTCTAAGTAAGGTAGTTTTGATAAACATTATCATGTAGGTACTGATGGCGTCACATACAAGCTCACTTGCAGTATTGCGAAATCAAGTTACTAAGTATAAAGACGTACTACTGTTTTCTTTTACTGTGGTCATACTCCGATTACAAACTAGTGCATTATAATAATCACTGCCTTGTACGTTATTTCTGGTACATTCGAGGTTGTTTATTTTTAAACCTTGTTCGATATGATGCAAAAAATAAGTTATTATATTACATATTAAATTAAGTAAGCTAGCAAAAACGGAATTGTTACTTAAATCCAGAAGCTTAATTGGCAGCTCCGGATATGAACTTGACATGAGTGAATACATATTGACATTTATGGATATTTCATGCATATTTAACATGTTTTCGGTGATTGGATATTTATGGTCAGTTATCCTTTTTTAATTTGCTTGCAAAATCATCAGTGACAAGTTAAACAATGTCCTCAACAAAAAATCGATTTACAAATTGGAATAGTTGATCGGATTCTGATATTGTTTTATTTGCATATCACAAAACTGTATTTGATGACAAACTGCGTTGGGAATAATTGATTTATTGGTTTGTACTATCTATCGCGTACTTGCACAAACTGACAGCCCGTTTGTTTGTGCAATCACTACTAAATTTACTGGTAGGATGCAAATTCAGTTCCAATTGGCGTTTAACTCAACTGTAACAGCACTTTAGTAGTAATTTTGCTGGAATTTTGCTTACGTTTTAAAGATTTAAACTAGTTTATAGATTAAGAAAAAATATGGAGAAACATTTTTGCTACGATTATTAAATGTGAGACATAAAAGCTCATCTGTTTTCACTTAGATTGAAGAAAAAGATCCTTTTTATGATGACATGTTTTTTTAAGATTTATCTGATTAATGAATGACCTGACAATAAATCCTTTTAATTACCTAAGTCAATTATTATTAATTTTAAGCCTTAGATACTTAAATTAAACAAGTCTATGTTACACATAATAACACAGCACGCAGAAAAAGCATTTCCATGTTAGTTTTGAACCAAAATATTTACACTAAGCTTTCATAGCTATGTGTAAGTTGCACTT